CCCCCCCCCCCCCCCCCAACACAAGCCCCCCATCTGGATTGTATTGGAAAAAAAATATTTTTTACAACGTTTTGAAGCTTAAAAAAGTGACTAAATTCATAAAGTTCTTTTATCGGTACTGCTATTTAGCTCGCTTTAGAATGCTTCTTTTAGTCCAGTTATAATCCCCCCCACCAGATCATTATAAGCACTCCTGTTTATAAGCCATCCTAAAATCCCTTACGAAGTTGTGTAAGCCACTAAGTTGTATAAGCCCACGGCTTAAAAAAGGAAGTTTACTGTACTCATAATTTGATGTTCATCTTTTCGAGTAACGTTACGAAGCAATTTAACAACCAGCTCCCAGTTGGCTTGCTAGTTCAATTGGCTAGAGGCTGCACCGGTATCGCAGATGTCAGAGTTATAAAATCCCTGCAAGCCTGAATTTTTTCACTAGGTTTTCTTTTCGCATCTGCGCAAGGCCTGGTTCAGACGCCGAACTTTTCATGAGCCGAGCCTAATACACTGAATTAAGTACATGAAAAGTTCGGCGTCTGAATCAATTAGGAACGTCTGTTTCAATTTGGAACGGCTCAGCAGGGCCTAAGTTGCGTCTTTACCTGCGACGAACTTTTTTGGATGTATTACTATGACATATTGACTATGATAAATTATATTCTTAGGTTGATAATGTTGCTTCTCACCTAATTTCTGTTGATGGTTCCTGTGGTTTGGGATCCATTTGCTGGCTTCGTCCCCGGGCTTCGAAAAGTCTAATCTGTACCTGCAGCTCCACACAAGCTTCTCTCTCTTCATGAATATTGCGGCAGAGCTGAGTATTCTTTTGCTATGAAAAGTATAAAGCGCATATACAGTGATTTTGTTACAATTAGTTATGGTGAGTTCTGGGACTCATATTGTAAAAAATCATGAGTCCCAGTCCAGAATCATTGAGTCCTAGTTCAAAAACACGATTCCCTGGGTCTTTATATAACCACACAGTTAATCTAGAGACAGACTCCAAAACTGTGCATTACAGTTTACTGAAATAGAAAT